AATCAATACCGGGGTATCAGTCAAATTGGTCACTCTCATATATATATCATTTTGTAGAGCAAATTTTACTGCATCTATCGGTTATATTTGATAAGCTTTGAAGTTGCATTTTTTGAAATGAAAACTATAGATTTTCAAACCTACCCAAAATGTCTACAAATCGCTAAAATTCGTAGTAGGGGTGTTCACAAAAACACTTACTGGTATCTCATGGAAAACTTCTTATGAGAAAAGAAAATTTACGAAAATATGTACTACAAAACGGACTTTCAGAATACATGACCACTAGCCAATTTCGAGCGGTGGTCAATTATGATTCTTATGCGGTGGGATCCTTTATATTTGACAATTCATACTTATATAGGGATCGGTGGGACAAGCTTTTTTTGGTCGCAGCCTCAATCTCGATTCTGACTGGAATTTTTTAAACTCCGATCTCATTGCTGTGTGACCATATTCCAATTCTTTTTAGAAGTTTGATATTTTGTTTCTCGGAAGTATACGACATCTGAAGTGTACCCATTACATTCGACATCTGTTTCACGATCTATTATCTATCTGTATGAGTCCATGAAAAACATACGATGAAATGGAGTGAAATACGTCGTTTGTTGTTTTCTTTTTTTATCAACAAGTGTTTTATATTAAATATTAGTAAAAATGAATAGCATTATTTAATTCTTGAACAGATAAATAATAATATTGATCATCTATAATAAACAGCAAATCATAGAAGTGACTCATAATAAAAGTCCTACTCTTAAATTTTCTAATCCAAAAATGCAGTCAGTACAAAGTAGAATAGTTGTTTAGAAGTTTTTGTTAATAGTTTACTACAAATTTTATATCGTATATCAATTATCATTCTCTTTTGATCTGGAGGTTAGCCAATGGAATAAATGTGATGGAGAAACATAATAAACGATGCAAAAAAAAAAACGCCAACATCGATGGTACAACAATCGATTTTATCATTTTATTCAATAAACAATGAAAACGATCAACGTTTTACTTGTACAATAAAAAAAATTACAAGCATCATGGCTATATGTTGTTCATTCGATGTTTTACCATTTGGTACAGTTCAAGGTGATGGATTCCGTGTGTTGGTCTAAGATTTAATGAAAACTGGTCGACAACTAGGCACAAATGTTTCTGCCAATGGTACTTTACTAGATCCAACAACGATAAACAAAGTCCTTTTACGTTGATAAGTTCTGAAATTATAATATTTTTTATTTTCTTTATTTTCTTTCAATTTAGATCAGTAGGAGTATTGATAAAACTGTTTACAGTACGTGAAGAATAATTGAAGTCATTTTTATTAATAATTGATCATTATGCAATTACTATTGATTTTTCGACAGTACAGTATACAAAAGTTGGTTTTGGAGGTACTGCATTGCACACGTATTCATCAGATCATGGTTTACTTGTCTTGGTACTCTTATGCAAAGGGTATGACTGATGCTGAAATGAAGACCAACACCACTCACGCGCACTCGCACTCTTTTTATACTTTGACTCTATCTCTCATTTAGTAGAATATCAATATGAAGAGCTGGTGAGGTTCCAATCATGTCCTCACATTATATAAGAACGTTAGATATTGAAAATGTGTCAGAATTTGTTCAGTCCTCGATATTTTCCAAATATCATATAGGCTATGAACCAATTTATTTTTTTATTTAGACAAAATTGTGAAATCATCATATTTCTAAATATTGGTGAGGTAAAAAAGTGCTTGACGACTTCATACTGATAAGAAAGACAACTGTTCATAGTGTAGGTCACAGTTGCAAGATGAGCTTCTGTCCTTTTGTTTTCTCACAACACTTATGTCCTTATTTATCACTAGCAAAATCCGACTATTGACAGTAGTCTTGCATACTAGAAGTGTTGGCTTAGCATTAATTAATGCTTTTGTATTAGAATTAAAAATTTAACTTAACACTTTTGCATTATTGTTAAAAAATTAATTTAATACTTTGACATTTTTGTATTAGAAAAGTATTAATCTAATGCTAATTGATTATAGTTTCCAAAACAGAACAATCTTGTTCTATTATGGAAACTCATGTGGTGAAAATCGCTATCATTTTGATGATTTTCAGAAAAATGAACGTAAAATCGAATTTTGTTGAAAAATCAGCGATAAAATTAGATTTTATCACGATAGTGAAAAGGAAATCGATTAATCGTAATCACTGAAAATCAGAATGATTAATCACAAGTAATCAAGAGGTTTTTAATAGCTGGATGTAAATGTGTTGTTACAAAATAGAAAATCTGACATAAGTTTGTGAAAAATATAAATTCAGCATACTAAGCTTTAGTTTTAGTAGTTTATCTACGTAGTGAACAATGAAAACAAACTAATTATTGCATTTGATATCAGTCGGATTTATTTCATTATTTTAACAATTATGATGAAGATCGGTCTTTTAATAATGTTTTGTACTCCTAACAAATAGTCTCTGTGTATTCAATTCGACTTAGATAAGATGCTTATTCTAATGTAACGTATACATGCATATATCAATTCTTTCTATTGCGTATAACTAAGTTATTAGTAACGATTTGATGATCATTGATAGATTCAAATGCGGAGCTTATAATAATTATACTTCGTCTGTTTTTTTTAGAGAGAGTGATTTTGTTTGTCTGTAGTACACATTTTTTTCATTTATTTGCTAGAAAATTCGGAATAAAAGGCATCATTTCATTTTAATCTCATTTGTTACTGTCACAATGATTTTATTTGTTGTTGTCATCTTCTGCTTTTGCTATGGTTTGCGTTTTCAATCTTTATTGATTTATGAATCATTTACGAAAAAGTAAACTAAAAAAGCACAATACATTGTAAAGTCAACAAAAATTATAATTGATCAAACCAAAATATGTTATACTCATTTTTTACATATGAATCCTTGTTATTATTAATTTACGCTAGTGCTCAAATTTGAGTGTGGTAAGTAAAAAAAACTTCTTTACCTTGTAGAAAGATAAATTATTGAATGCTCAATGCCTCATTATATATCATGAAGCTTGTTGATGATGCACAGTATTTTATGCCACCAGATGTTTATTGTACTCCGTTTTTTACAGTATTTCAGGAAAATTCTCTCGTAATAAGATGATATGACTTCGTCTCAAACAATTTGTAACACTGTTGATAATATGAAAGCTGCAAAACCTTGAACTTAAAACTTACACTCACTATTTTCTTCGAAAATAGACGTAAGTTCTACAAAACAAAGGTAACACGACAGTTGAAACCAAAAAATTGAGCATTATGCGACTTCAGAAACAGTGTTTTTTACTATTGTATTATTATCTATGCATCACTGTTTGCTCTACTTAGAAATCACAGAGCATGATACTGCAGAGGAAAAGCACTTTTTTTATTTTTGATGAATGTTTTTTGTTTTTGAGATTTCCTTAAATTCAAATTCTCATCATCAAGAGATGGTGATAGGAAGATAAAATAAGATTTATGTATTTATATATTTACAACTATGTCAAATCAAAGAATAATACCATTACAATGTGATAAAAAGAAGAAAAGACAATATCAACTAATGTTATTGCACGGGAAAGCCTTTTTTTTTGTTGTGCTTTTTATTGCATTGTAATTGCATTATCGTTTGATGTTAAATTGTAAATTTATGTATATATATATATATACAAACCTTATTCCGTATTCGTATAATAATTTTGTGTCGTTAAAAATGTAAACTAAGGAAATCTAAAAAAAGATTTCTTTAAGTTACAGCAATATTTGTCGTTACAGGTATTATACTCAATTACTTATAATATTTACTCTATTTCTTTTTTTTAAATATATATTTTAGATGTTTAATCCTTAAGTGTCATATAAGGCTCGAGCGAATCAACTGCAGCAATAACGTCGCAAAAAAAAGCGAAGAGCTTCATTATATATATTAAAAAACATTGATTCTTATCTTATGTCATGTGATGATAATTTAGTTATAAGGACCAAAAAGAAATATCCATGAAGGTACAAAATGTAAACAAGATAAATTCTTAAACTCAGAGTACTTTAATTTAAATACAAATGCATACATATCCGATGGTGATTACGATGACGACTTGGTTAATGTATGTTCTAATTTTAGTGTACCTATATATGATTTTTCACTGTAATGTTTTATGTCTAACACTATGGTATGTTACTCTTTTAGTTTTTTAATGGTCATCTATAACTACTACTTAGATGTATTTTTTTTACTTGCATTCTAGTGTTTGTAAATTCTAACACGTTGGTATTTTCTTTGTCAAAATTCATGAGTAAAATTTAAGAAAATCGACTAAGCAATCTCCTGTGAATTTTTTTTTTCTTTGGTTCCCTTATTATCTTTGCCATTAGATGTGATGGAAACAGTAGGTTATTTTAAAATAAAATTTAATCGAAAAAAATAGACGCAATTCATCAAAAATAAGTAAAATATCTTTCAAATTGCGACAGTATCACATCAGATTGGCAATATAAAGCAATAATTTGAGAATAAATTGCGATTTATCGTAATAACCACTAAAAATATCATTAACAGTTGGCGATTAATCAGTAATTTTTTGAGCGATTTCTACAGCATGGGACGCCCTACCTGCTCTACACAATTATAAAACCTGTGTTCTTCCCATGATTCCAATAGAAAATATGAATAAAAATGATGAATTTAGTCGAGTAGGTATATACTCTCTTTTGGAAATACATGAATATTGTGTGAAACATTCATTCGTCGACGGTATAAAAATTATTTTGTATTTACTTCTAGATAATTTACGTTGGTTGAAAGATTGAATACAAAGGAGAAAATTCTCTGTTTCACTCATTCTTCATAAAGAAGTTTTAAAAGAAATTCTATAACAATACTATGAATCAGGTCAATGATCAAAATAAAACATTAGATAATACCACAGCGAGTTGTACTGAAGAAGCAACAGTACAATCGAATACGAATACTTCAACTTCTTCGTAAGTAATTAGACTTGAATATGTTATATATGTTCAAATATTTATTCAAAATTACTCTAATTTTATGCTTTCGTATAAAAAAGGACAGATTTACACATTAATTCTCTTATTGATGCTGTTTTTATCTATTTTTAGTAAATCATCACGTCTACCAAAGATCTATACTCGCACTGGTGATCAAGGCACATCTACTCTACTAGGTTCTAGTGCAAATCACTTATCAAAAGATTCATTAGTATTTGATGTTCTTGGTACGATTGATGAGTTATCATCAACAATCGGTATTGTTCGATCAACTTGTTCTTTTCCTTTAATAATAAAAGAACTCGAAACTATTCAACATTGTTTTTTTGAGATGGGCTCATGTGTGGCTGCAAATAATCGTTCACCTCGTTTTGTATTTAATGATGCAACATTGATTACCAATCTGGAAGAACAAATCGATAAAATGACTGAAGAATTACCAGAACTACGTCATTTTATTTTGCCTGGTGGGCCAAGTCAAACAGCATCTTATCTTCATTTGGCTCGAGCTGTTTGTCGTCGATGTGAACGTTTATTAACTAAGTGGTTAAATGAACAAATCGAAGACGAACAGCCACAACAAGATACAATCATGGGTATTTATTTGAACAGACTTAGTGACTATTTATTTACATTAGCACGATATGTAGCATACAAAGAGGGACATGAAGATATTATATATCATAAAAGCAAATAAATGAGTTCTTTTGTTACATTTTTCGATATTGCCTTAAAGCTGATTAGTATTTCGTCTTTAGTATTTCTTTTTTTGTCATTTTTTGTCCATACGAACATTAAATATAAATTCAGTCTGGGATCGAAGGAATCAGCATCCGGTCAACGTGTTACTTATATATAGGACTGTTTAAACGCATACTTTTCGATCCATTATTTATAGAATTCGAATTCATCCATGGAACTATTGTCTACACTTCAAACGCGTTTGAATTATTCACTGGCAAACAGCTCGACATCATCCGAACGCGTCCAGAATGCAACATTTTGGAATATATGAACGTTTCTTTTTTTTTGACAAGCGTGTGGCTGCGTCCATTGCACAGAGAGTGCGGGTGTGGGGTGTTGGCATGAATGTCCATAGTATGGAGAGAACAATCTCATTCCACCCATACACTCATACCCGGATTGGTGCATGTGAATGATGTGGCTCTTTCCGAGTGCATATGAGCATTACGCTTGCCACGATGCCATCAGGATGGTTTCTAGTCGCGTGTGCGTGTGAATTTGAATTTAAAAAAAAAGAAAATTATTGTTAATTTGAATGCAATTTATTGAATAGGAAAAAACTGAACACGATCATTATCCCAATCAACGACATAAAGATTGCCATGTTGATCGAAGGACAAATCATTGAGACTTTTGAACTGATTTGCCCCTATTCCTTCACCATTTCCACCCAAGATGATAGTGCCCTGTTTCGCTCCTTTAGACCAACGCATCACTCGATTATTCCTAGAGTCTACCACATAGATGGTATCCAACATATCGACGAACAGTTCATAAGGATGAGACAATTGTGTCAGAGCATTTCTGTTGCCTTCACCCTCAGCGACAACAATGGCTTTTTTTGCAACTTGATTCCATTTCATCACACGATTATTATTTCAGTCTGGCACGTAGATATTCTGTTGTTGATTGACAAAGATGTAGGTCGGAAAGTCGAGTTGATTGAGATCAGCACCTTTGCCATTTCTACCAACCACGATAGTTTCATTCTTGTCTTCTATTTGATGTCGTCTGACTTGAGGGTGTGCGGATGTGATTATGGCCTCTACCTTATATGCACCTACATTCACAGCCCAAAATTTTACTTTCGGTTTTGTCACTGAATCCAGTTTCATCAGCATTGAATATTTGATTAGGCTTGTCCATAAGATCAAGTTTTTTCAATGTTGATTTAAGCAATAAATATCAGCCTTTACGAGTTTCTTCAGTAAATTTTTCAGCACGTATTCTTTCTAATTTTTTCTGTTTTTTTTTGTCATTTTATTTTCATACGATGTCGACTGCAAAATATTTTTTACCACTTTTATTTCGGTACAAACGATAAGCCGCTTGACTTCATGAATTCAGATGAGATTTCAATAGCAATATCAGAAGGGTGTGGGTGTAGGTATTAGTATCTTCCTCACAGCCACAGCCACAGCCACACCCATACCCGACCCATACCTCACAACCGCATCCACACCCCACACCCATCAGTCTATGGAAGATATTGTTGAATTTCCGGCTATTACACCTAGAAAACTCATCATCCGATTACAGCGTCGAGACCAAAGCTCATAATAAAGTTAATTCTCTTTTTTTTTCTTTACCTACATAAAGAAGCACAAAATATACTCTTTGAGCTTTTCTCACCTCAACGCTATCTTGAGAATGAGATCGAAAATCTCACGTAAGATTAATCGTTCGGAATAGTAAACGTCGACCATCGATCGACAATTATAATCCTATTTCAATCGCTTGATTATTTGTCGATTTTATAGGTGTCGATGTATTTCGAAGATCAATCGAATATATTTAAAAATCATCAAACTTTCCCGTAAGCGTGAACATAAATGAGAAAATGAACCATTTTTCAAATGAAAAATATAATAATTGATCAATGAGAAATAATACATTTTGAATGATATTTTTTTTGACAAGTAATCAATCATTGTTTCAATTGAGATCAATGCATGGATTCTACTAATTATATTCATTAAGTTTTATTAATATTGAATAACAATCTTTCTATTCATTTTTATGCAAATGATTCTCTTCGTCTATCGACCATATTTGCAATCGGTACCAGTCGTGAACTGCTCAACATAAGAACACTCACATAAAATTGCTGCTAGTGATTACCAAAGGGCTCGCTAAAAAAGGTCACTTTTCGCCAAAAAAGGCAATTGAGAGAAGCGCATGGTTGGATGAGCTAATGTGTGGGTTTTCATGGGTAAATTAGCTTTCGTCTCACCTCTTCCGAACATCCGAATACGTGACCGGATGTTCGGAATTAACTTTTTTTTTCATGTCCGGAGTTCGTAAAGAGTCATGTTCAGGAGATCGTGATAGAAAACAGGGAAATCGGAATGATTTCACCGAATGTTCGGAACAGAGTTTTTCTTGTATATCTGATATAATACCCGGAGATCGGGATGAATAAGGTCAGATGTTCGGAATAATGCATTTTACAAAAAAAACAACCGGGTGACCAGAATAACATTGTCCAGAACTTCGTAAAAAAAGATTCACTGGGAGATTGTAACGAATATAAAGATTTTTATTTCTGGTTTTCTATACAAGAATAGCGTTCATTTACTTAGCACATTCATAATTATATCAGGAGACATTTTTCTTCCTCTATCACTGTTCTCTATACTTTAGTAACTATAAACGTTGTTTCTAACTTTCGTCTTTTAACCCTTTGAGGACGGGATTACTTTGAAAAAGAATCGGGATTTCCGAAACTCTAAAATGATGTATATATTAGAAACAAGATCAATGAGGGCGCAATACACATGACAGTGTCACACTACATCGGACATGGCAGATCTATGACCTGTGCAGCATATAGATTATAACAGTATCATAAGAGACATATGCGTAAGTCGGTTATCATCCGGTCCAGAGCCGTTGCCTATATATAGGCTTCCCGTCCCCAAAGGGTTAACGTATTCATACAATTGATAGGTGGCACTAGCTTCTGTGCAAATGAAACACTATATAGTGTATGTGCCAAAGTCTTTTCGTTCAGATATGATTGGCTATACAAGTGATTCAGTATTGAAGATAAACCAGGCTAAGTTCTCATAAAGAAGTGAAGATTATAGACTCTAAAAATATTTTACCATAAAGAAGAAAGTGTACTTTGCTGTTATTCCTGATTTCTAGATAAGAATTCAAATAAATAGAATCTTTTTCCTTGTTTGAATCTACATCTACGTTGATTTCAAATATTCTTAATGGTGGTTGTCACTCGTAGTCAAAGTTCGGTTGCTGCATCAACAGCAGCAGCTTTAAAGTGTACATGTAAAATAAACAAACAACCAAAATCATCAACGTGTAGTCGTTCAGTTCATAAAACGTCAAAAAGAGCACCATCACATTCACATCCTAATCCTATTCATCGATTTCGTTCAAAATTATCTAAGAAAATCTTACGTAATAATAATGTCAGTAATACTATATCATTTACGTAAGTGTTCTTCTATGCTTTCGTCCACTCTTTTCCAATAGAAAATAGTCAAAATGATTTGTTTGTTTATTTTTCTATTTTTTGTTATTAGAGGAAGAAAACATGATGATGTTTATTCGCACTACACTTATGAATAAAAATTTCTTTCTTTTCTTTACAAAAACTTTATATTCGTAAACGAAAACATTTAAGGAATTAGTGAGACTAACTAACACGAGAATTACAATGGTAAAAAGAACAGCAATCTTGACTGCCTGAGTTCATCAAGACGTTCTTTATCTACCATCTTAGACTGTAAGACAAACGTGTCACTTCACATTCTCTCAAAAGTAAATCTCAACACGATTACGAACATCCGACCCTTTTCATTCCGAACATCCTGTAGTTTTTATTATGACCTTCATGTATTTGTCATTATGAACTTCTGAACATTTCCATTCCGATCTCCAGGCAAAATTTCGCTATTTTTTCACAAAAAAAACAACGTCATTACGAACTCCTGACCACATGTCGTTCCGAACATCCTGTTTTTTTGTTATATTTTATCGACTTTTTCACTACCAACCTTATTCCGAACATCATGTCTCTTTTCTTATGTCCGAAGTTCGTAACGGACTGCTTCACCTGGAGTTCGTAATAAAAAGGTGAGATGACAGCTAATTTTCCCATTTTCATAATCAAGAATACACAGGATATCATTAACCGAATTGCAGGAGCACAAAAATTGGAAGGGAGAGAGTTACCCTCACTCTGTCTCCAGAAACTGCGATAGAAGGTCATGTTTCAACAACTACTTTATTGGCTATTGGAAAAAGTCTTTTTAGCCAAAAAAATTTCCAGGCCCAATTTCCTCGCATTTTTTCAAAAAATTTTCGCTCGACAAACCAGTTCTTCAATAGTTTTCACTTCTGTTTTCATTTTCCTTTTGTATGTTAAATATGCTCTGATTTCTTTTTAAAGTCACATTGGAGAAAAGGCAAACTTGTATATCCATCAAGCTCACGTTGCACTTTCAGCATATAGAAGGTCTGAGCGTAGCCGCCTTCTGTGGCGAAATGTATAACAACACATAATGTTTATACAAGCACCATTATAGAAAAGCTATCTTTCATGTCATTTGTATTTAATAACCGAAGTATCAGCTCGAAATTTTCAATTATTTTCCGAAAAATGGTCATTTTCGGCGGTGAGGGTATGGTCGTTAGTGTGAGGGTGTGGGGTGTGTGCGTGATCGTGACGTGTGGATCTTCTACTCTCTCACAGTACACATCCACGTCCCACACCCAGACTCAGACCCACACCCTCACGCCTACCCCCACCTACACCTATACCCTAACTGACTAGTTAATCAGCTAGTGCATTAATTGATATTCAGTTGAAAGAATCAATATTTCTAAATGTCTATGCTAAAAGAACTTGTTGAGAACAATAACCTTTGTAAAAACTCTAAGCTAAATGAAAGGTAAGTATGTACCATTTTGTCTGCGGTGATACTCATATCTTGTATTAGAGAGAGATTTACTTACCATTGACTAATTTTAATCAATCGACTGTTTCGTCTGCTGATGAAGGCTGGAAAGGACGTGGGTATGGATGTTCGCATAGGGAAGACCCACACCCCATCCTAATTCTCGAGAAACAAAACCGTTGCCATTCCATAATTCTCCCTACTAACAGTGGTAGATCATTCTAAGAATGCATGCGGACAATCTTCCCGATATATATTTGAAGTAATTTTGATATTGTTATTTAAAATAAGATAGAAGAAAAAAAGCAAAAGCAGTGTGGATCTTCCCATCATCTACAAATCGTTACTCAATCGCATCTCCGTACACTAGGCTACTTTGAAAGGTAATCGGCATAGGACAATAACTTCAAATCGTTAAATTATTATTAACATTTCACGATTAATTCACATTTATCGAAAATTACCAAGATTGATTGTAAGAAAATGGTCTGTCATTACTTCTTACTAGTGGTTCTATGTACTGATCAATCATCTACTTGAGGGTGTGGGTGGGTGTGACTGTGAGTTGTGAACAGAAAAGTCGCACCCACAGCCACAGCCACACCCCAACATTCAATCCGTCACCTATGATATCTTCTGTATCTCTAAGCATGTTCGTGGCTTTCGCGTTTGACTGTGATGAACTGCATAAGGATATAGAAAAGCCATCAAAAAGTAGTTCAGTTCAATTGAAAATCATCTGAGACTATATTAAGTTCGATATATTGATGAATTTCCTCGTTTTTCTTGCTTTGATGTTCATCTTAAATTCATTCGTTTGTTTTATATTTATAAATTCAAATAATAGAAATTCTATGTTCTGTTTTATTTTTTTTTCTATCACAAACTATGTTCTTCTATGGAATCAATAATTGTAATGTAAATCAAAAAACAAAAAAAGTTCATAATCTATTAGATTTCATGTCAGTTCATTAATTATAATTTCTTTCGATAATCACTTAGTAAATTTTCCATTGAATCATCCATATTCTCAATCCATGGTTTGGAAATTTGGACGATTTTTTTATTTTTTGTATCGACAATGGACTCAAAAGATATATCACGATAATGGACTGTATCGGCCAAAAACCTTTCCAAAAATTTTTTCATCATATGATTAGCTTTATCAAAATTGGGCTTTGATAAAGATTGATTACCATCATATGTACGTAGTAAATCGAACATATCTCGCATATAATCAGTTTGCAAATCGAGCATAGCAAAGAAATCGGTAGGTCCTATAGATTTTTCTCGTGTTTGCCATTTATTCACATCGGCTTGCCATTGAACTTGCTCGGGTAATTTAATATGACCAAGAAAAACATCTCGTACAAGTGCTGCTTGCAAATCAAACAAAGGAAATGAGAAAAATTGTCTCGGAGTGCCTAAATAAGCAAGATATGGTTGATCAATCCAAAAGATACTTTTGTAGAGATTCGATGGAACAAATTCAGTTATACCACTATGTAACTGAAATCGTTTGGCCATGAACGGATAAGAATGACGATAGCCAGTACAAAAGATAATAGCATTGATATTTTCAAGACTTGAACCATCTTTAAAATGAGCTGTTCGACCTTCGATGCGAACGACCATGGGTGCATCTTTTATTCCAGCTGGCCATTTAAAACCAATAGGTTCTCGTCGAGAACTGATTGTTACTGATCGAGCACCGAATTTATAACATTGTAAAGCAATATCGACTCCGGAAAAGCTACTACCAATAATTAACAAATTAAGACCTACAAATTCATCCGCACCACGAAATTCATGTGAATGAAGGACTCGACCTGGAAATCGATCCACTCCATCGATATTGGTCATGTTTGGCATGTGATAATGACCAGTTGCTACAATAACACGATCAAAATTTATACATTCTATCGAACCAGTATTCAGATCTTCAACGTCAACGTTAAATTCCTTTTTTTCATCATTAAAATCAACATGACGAACAGCGGTATTAAAACGAATGAATTGTCGAAGATTGTTAACTTTAGCTCTACCAGTTAAATAATCGTAGATGAAAGCACGCGGCAAGTATGATGGAAGAAAGCAACCAAAATGATCATAGAATGTATAGTCAGCAAATTCAATCGATTCTTTCGGATTGTTAGCCCAAAGTCTAAATATAATACGAAAAGAAATTTTAGAATATTCAATTATGAGAAATGAATTTCACCTAATAAACTTTCCCAGATGTTTAAAGTATATTACACAGTGTAAATCTACAAACTATAGATTTACTTTCATTAAGATATTTTAGCCGCTTTTATTAAGCTCTATATTTATGCAAAAAGTATGAAATCAAAAAGTGAAAGATATTTTAATAAAATCCTCGATAGGGGATTATTTGATAATGTATTACAAGACGTTCAGTTAGGCAAGAGATAAAACATGAAAAAACGTACTGCAAAAAGAGAGAAGATCCTCACGAATCTCGATGGTTAACATTTTGATTTTATAGGAATCATAAACTTTTACAGATTTAATTGATAGTTCGATAGATTTCATTTTTGTAATCTTTTTCGAGTTGACGAGGAGCACTGCAAGTAATTGTTTAGTATATCAATCAATTCTTTATCAAATAAATCATTCTTATTAGAAAAAAAAATGTATATTTATTTTTCAAAATAAACAAATATTCAATAAATTTTATCCAAAATTCATATTGTACTTACTGTCGATACATGCTCGAATGAATTGGTTCACCATGAACATCTATGCCTATTTGAGATGTATAAATCCATAAACCACCCCAATCGGATTGTTTTTCGAAACAGACAAGTTCAACTCGTTGTTCTTGTTCAGCTTGTTTAAATGCTAACAATTGTGAAAGACCGCATGGACCAGCACCAATAATTGCAATGCGTAATTTACTCATTATCTACGTTTAAAAATGATCGAGATATACTAATTTCTCTAGAAGCATAATATAGAAATGTCAATAGAAGAAGAATCGTCTTTTATTTATAATAATTTTCTTATGCTTATCTCTTTCTTATTCATACAAAATGTATCTTGCATTAAGAAAAGTTGTGTAAGCACGCGCATAAAAAGTAAGATAAATGCGGCAGTCAACCGAAACGAATCGCATAAGTAGTGTGATGAAATTTTTTTTTATATATGTTACACCAAATCATCGCTCTTTCGTTCTGCTGTAAACATTTTTAGTGAGTCATACTAGGTGAATAAAAAAGAGGACGTCGAACGAACTAACGTTTATTATTCTTTTTTTTATCTTAAGGCCCTTCAAAACAAAAAGTCCATTTTCATCAAAAATCTGAAAATTGAAATAAATGCATGGAAAGATAGCCTGACTTCTGCTGTTTCTGAAACAACGTGATTTGTAAATCGACACTCCATCTTGTGACAAAATTTTTGATAATTTTTATCATTTACGTCTTTAAAAAAAAACACACTTTTTTCAGAAAAAAACGGAAAATGTTTTTCGTTTTTTCTCAGTTTATAATTTTTTGATAGCGCAACCCTAAGTTTTCAGTTTCAGTTCGTTTTACATATTTATCTTTTTTATTTGAAAGAGCATGCCAAGATGTAGGTAAGTACAGAGTCCTTTTTTGTGTACTCAAAAAGTGAGTACACTCTAGAATCGGTCAGTGTGTCCGTCCGGCCGGCCGTTAACACGATAACTTTTGAAAGGAGAGTCCGATCGCAACGAGATTTTCTACACAGTTTAGTCTTTACAATATCTCCGTCGAGTTCGAAGATGAGAATGATTGGCCGAGCCATTGCTGAGTTATTGCAAAAATAGTCATTTTTCCCTATGAGAAGATAGACCCTTCTCTGCTTTCGTAAAAAACTTTTCCTATCATAGTCATATAAACCCCCAACTATTATATACCATTCGATAGAGAATTTCACGAGCTACAAAACAGTATATAAAACATAAAGAAACAACAAGGCTAGCTCACCTATTGCAAAGATAAACAAACGGAAATCGGTTCTGTTTTTGTCTGCGCTCTAATCGATCCACAATTCGAGCTCTATCTTCCGATCAGAGAGATAATACTTCGAGGTTTTCTAGGATGAAGAACTCGAATTTGTAATCCACTTCACTCGAAGCCCCATTGGTTGAGCACTGACCAATAGAAACCAAATTATAGGAAAAACGAGTTTTTTAGGATAACTCAAGGCGAAGAGTTCAAATCTGAGCTGTGTCCACTCCGAAATCCTATTGGTTGAGTAGTAGCCAATAGAATTCAAATGTTTATAGAAAGGATTTGCCAGGCTAATTTTTATATCCGCACATTCTAGAATGACCGATTTGTCTCATTTACTTTTTGAAGTACACATAACTCTCGGATTTAAATCCGAGGTTTCCACATTTATTTTAATTAAGCTTGGTTTATTATTATATATATAAATCGGCGCCCATTTTCAGAGAGTTTTTCTGGAATCTCCAACGTGTCACTCTTTTTTTTCTATATAAAAGATAAGAATTTTGAAAAAATGTCTCTGTGGTGCTCTGCATCCTGAGATGCTCTTTCAAACAAAAAAAAATAAATATATAGAATGAGCCTGGGCAGAGAATTTTTGGTTGCCAAATGAGCTATTTTTGGTCTTTACTTGGTGAATATCTCCCTCAAACGTCATAGTGTAGGGCTGAAAATTTTACCACAACCTCTCCACTACAGCTCCAATATATCTTGAAAATTTCATGCGATTTATACGTATCTGGCCCGAGATCGATTTTTGAGGGCTGAGATCCTTAAGTGTAATTATTTGACTGCATGACGTTTTCCAATTTTGATGCACATCTATCAATTAAAAATATTGATTAGATAAATTTAATTTATTATTTGAAAAAATCTCAATGTCATGTAAAAATTTGAACTGCTTGGTTAGTGTTGAATAAAATAAAATCAAGTTAACATCAAAGATCCGCAGAACCGTCTTACGTCCTTGCTCAGTGTCGCACGCTTGTTTTTTTTCTAGGTGTGAGTGTGGATGTTAGAGTCCTTCACCAGGTCCAAAACAATTTCCGGACCGGTCAAAGAAATACGAGCCCTTCTGCTATTTTTCATGCTAATACATTACTCAATCGTTCATCTTGTAGACAAATCTTTTATCTTTCACCTCATACATTGAGAAAAGCATTACAATGTATTACAGCCAAAATAATTTAATAAAAAAAAGTCTCGGTCCACATTTGGATCCGCTCGGATCCAGAAAATATGGACCCGGACTTTTTTTTATTAAATTATTTTGACTATAATGCATTGCAGTGCTTTTCTAAATAAATGAGGTGAAAGAGAAAAGATTTGTCTACAAGATGAACGGTTGAGTAATGTATTAGCATGAAAAATGACAGAACGGCTCGTATTTCTTTGACCGAGTCCGGAAATTTTTTTGAATCTGGTGTAGAGTTCCACTGGCTGTGCGTGTAGGCTGTGGAGTATCGGTGTGAAGTGTGTATAGGCATGGGTCGGTGTCAGAGCTGCCATCTCTTCCGCTTTTAGCAGAAAAATTCTGCTTTTTGAAGTTTTTTCTGTCGTTTCTGCTTTTTTTTGATACGGCGTTATTTATTATTTCAATCAACATTTTTCATCTGAAATGCCTTCGTTTCCATAAAATATTTTAAAAAAACCGTATCAAAAACTACTGATATTTTTGTGCCATTCTAATTCTTTCTATTTGATACAGATGATTTTTATTTTCTACTGACTACAAACAACTACCAACCTATATATTTGGCTTTAAATCAATTCTTTACCTATGGTTTTCTATCGTATTTTAATTACTCATGTAATTCATATACATCAACATATACATTCTTTCGTTTGTTTATTGAATGAACATGAATAATTAATATGATTAGTTAGAGAAAGGGAACAGAAAACACAGCTCTAGATGATAATGACAGCTCGACTAGCGAAGAAGGTATTCACAAGGCAGTGGTAGTTGCTGAAGTAATAATTATGTCATCAGGTATTAAATCAGAAAACAGAAATTGAATAGAGTTGTCTTCAACAGAGAATGGTGCAAAGTCGTCGAATATTAATGATCTTTAAAACAATATAAATTTGATCCGTTTCAACTAACATTTATCGTTCGTCATCAACAGTTTTCTGGATATTGCTAATAAAAAGCTAATATTGATAATCCTATGAACAATGAGAAACAAAAAGATTTTAAATGCTATGATTTAATCAATAATTATTTTGAATTTCTCCTTATCATATACTGTAATGGATAAATATTTATTAGGTAAAAAAAGATTTGTTAAAAGCTCTTAAATCAGATGAAGAATACTCTTTAAAAAGAAAATGTGTTCAATGATTCTGTCTATTAGTTAATTAGTTGTGTTTTGTGATGCTATACAATGCAAGTGATTAGTATACTGAAACTAAAATTTAATATTAACGGGTAGCTCGTAATAAAAGAGGGTCTTAGTATTTTGTTAACATCTTAAGTGTTATCTTATCGCTCACGCTTTATTTTTTTTTATCGAAAGATTCACTGTCTGATTTTGCAGAAATTGGTATATTTCAGTGTAAAAAACACTTATCTCTCTTTCAATATCATCATGATTTAAAACAAGTATTACACACAACTTTCAAAGTCTTCATTGTTTTCAATTTTTTTCCAAAATGTCCAGTTTTTCAATTAATCCTGTTACTTTGGATATAATTTGTTCGCCACTCAAGAGATAAATTGGTTCATTTCAATCAGCGTACCAACGGCAATGTATTTTATTGCTGGATAAAGAATATGGCACGACCAATGATAATAAGACTAATCTAAGGACTGGATGTTTTCAGAAAAAAATTGAAAAAAAATAGAGATTTTGAAAGTTGCGTGTAGTGCTGTTTTTAAATCGTGGTGATGTCGAAAGAGAAAGAAATAAGTATTTTTACAACGAAATATTCAATTTGTGCTGAAGCAGACGGTGAATCTTTTGATAAAAAAAACAAAACGTGAGCGATAAGATAACGCTTAAGATGTTAACAAAATACTGAGACCCTCTTTTATTACGAGCTACTCGTTAGTTCCATATCATAAACATACTTTCTGCTGTCTTTTTGCTTTTCGATGATCAAACTTCTGTTATTTTCTGTTTTTTGCAAAGTATTTTCTGCTCTTCGGACTTCAAAAAGGTGGCAGCACTGTTGGATAGCGCTTACGAATGTGTGATCAAAGCTCAACTTCCAGGTGATCATCATCCAAATTTTTCCCAACGTCAAATGAAACTTGGAAGGATCGGTCAACATCGAGAAAAGTATGACAAAGCTCATGATTATTATAAAATCGTCTTAGAGATGAGAAAGCGTGCTTTACCACCTAAACATATGGATTTAGGGAAAACGTTATATAATTTAGGTAGTGTTACAGGTGAAGCAGGAACTGATTACGAAAAAGCTTTGAGGGGTGTGTGGGTGTGGATGTCGGCATTTCTCTTCATTACACCCACCCACAACTACACTCACACCAATACCCACCCATACTAGGATCTGCGAAACCACTATTTTTCAGTCCCGATTCTAGTTCTGGTTAAATTTTTTTTGGTCCTGGTCCTGGTCCCGTTTATATTTTTTTCTGGTCTCGGTCCCGGTTCTGATCTTAGATAAAAGCTATGTATTGACTGTATATTGTAAGTCACTTAGTCAAAAAACCAGATGTTATTGCAAAATTCTGATTTTTGAAGTCAAAACTAAGATCACAAGAGAAATTTTGTCGAGATTGTTAAAGGATTCTGGTTTTTAGATATCTGATCATAAAAAAAAATAATAAATATCAAAATGCCTAGTCTCGTCTAGTTCTTTGTAAAAAACCTATCGGGATTAGCTTGAAGATATTGGTCCCGGTCCTGCCGGAACCGAGACTGGGACCATCTTGCAGATCCCTAACCCACATCCACATCCTCGTGACTGTCGTGGCCAAGAGTCAATCACAGTCATGCTGAGTTCTATCACCGATATGTGACTTGTAAAAACTTGATAACTATATGTAGACATGAAAAAGAACTGTTTATTTTCTTGAAATTAAACTGAAACTGAGCACAGAATAAAGCCAATACAACAAGAGTATACTGTTTGCAAGTTCATTTTCGAATTAGAATATGTAAAAGATTATTCATTTTCAGTTATGATATTTATTCGTGGCGAAATCGGTTTTGAATAGTTCTTGTAATACGAATAGTAGCTTCATTGAACTCTTTTTTATAGAATTTAGACGGTAGAACAAAGAGTATGAATAAAAATAATGGTTGAATGAATGAAATAAAATAAGCAGTGAGATATAACCAAGGATTTCGGACTGATTTCATACACTTAGAAACAAGTGAAATGATTAGACGTGGCATAGCAATGATGACTAAAACGAAAGAACTTAATAATCGATGTTTGTGTCGACGAAATTGTTTCCATAGATGTTTTCTATATGTTTGTTCTTGGTTCGTTTTCGATTTTCTTCGAGCTATTAAGACAATCATCAATAGAACAGAGATGAAATTAATACAAAGAGGTAGAAGAAAATGAAAGAAATTGATAAATGAAGCGTAACGTCTTATAGATGATGAGTAACGAACTACACACCATGTACGTTGTTCTTTTGGCTCTTTAAGTAGATGACGATTTAAAGGATCATGAAGAAAACTTGTCAAGATGAACAAACATAGTCTGAAGATCACTCTTTTTGCAGCTTTTTTACTTCTTATTTTATTAAATTTTATTCCGAGTTGAATGGTCAATATTTGTTCAATACTTACACAAGCATTTAACCATTCTTCAATTGCCAAAAATGCTTTCAAAAGTATGTCTGTTCATATACAATGTGATAAAAGAAACGAATAATTAGTATTTATTGACATTTGAGAAAAGACAAGTAAGAAAAATTTGAGAGTAAATAATGTCATTGTTAGAAGTGATGTGATTGATGAGATAAGTAGATATACACTGGAACCTATTCCAAGTGATCGTTTCGTTTGAAAAGTGATCATAGATAAAACACCATTGATAATAGCAATGACGAACATCAGTATTGTAAAAGCTGTAGTGATTTTCACTACTGTCGGTTGTCGTGAGAAAGGAACATTTGGCCAAATATTATATATATATTTATGCATGTATCATTCCTTTGTATCGCTTATTTTCTCAATAGGGTGAATCAAACTTCTGAAACTCGTGTTCAAAGTACGTTTCTGACCGTATAAATAATAATTAATGCACACTAAAAACTGCTGAATTGAAACATGCCGATTTGTATTTGCGAGCTTTTCTTCGAAAGTGTAGACAAGTGGAAGTGAGCAGCAAGTTGAGCGATATCAACATTTGTATTTATCCTCTTCTCTCGCTAGGAATGAGACGGACAGAATCAGAATTCTCATCAGATAAACATCTGATAAAAGAAAAAAATAATGCAAACTTAGGAAATGAATTATATTTTTCAAACTTTAGAAATGCCGCCAGAGATATTACCACAGTAAGCATTGTCTAGCTAAGCAAATATGATTTATTCTGAGTATGATCTTTACGCCAAATCTCATTTTCGCTAACATAAAAGTTAGCTAAGAAGCAAATGGTATACATGAAGAAATTTGATTGTTGACGTTAAAAAACGACATCCTGTTCAACGATTGAATTGATAAACTGTTTATTAGATGATCCTTATATAGCCACTTGTTGTTCGTTGATAGGTATTTCGTCCGATGACAATAGTACCATTCACTGGGATACCCGACAAGTTGATAATATCTTGTTCGAGAGTATGCAGTGATCCACCTGTTTGAGCTGCGATGGTGAGCAGAGCTGGATTTACAGGTGATGAGTTCAGCTGACAGGTGATGACTTTCACAGGCTTGTTCACATTCGAAAGTAAAACCATATCACGTGGAGTCGCTTGGTTATCAGCAATATGAATCAAATTCGAACAGTTCGGACACTGTGCAATTCCATATAGAATTGCTTCGATGTCATTCTCAGGTGTATCACCACCATTACCGTTCTTCATAGCTGTTTGCATTACAGCTAGTACTGAGTTCAAATCAGTAGTCGGTGTACCATAGATACCACCTGTAGACCCAATCACTTTGCGTGAATCTGGCTTATTATCACCATCGTTGAAAAAGACATAGTATTTAATCGAATTTAGCCTATCATACGCTAATTTCATCCATTTATAAACGGCAGCCGAACATGGTTGCATTGAACCAGTGACATCAACAACAACAAGCATGTTATTCCAAGTCGAACGATTGAATACATTTTCCACTGTCCTATCATAATTTGTAAGTGAACCATTAAGAATACCTTCGAGTATACTCAAGTCTGTGCCAGTGCCAGTAAATTGACACAATGGACCGTAAAACTTTGGTGGACATAGACAATAAGAAGCAGTACCAACTACTCGGCAAGTGCCCTGAAACATAGAGAACATATTCAGTACACAAATATTTATTAGTATTATAAAGATGTCCGGCTTTTCGACTTGTTAATTCATCTCAATAGACATATAACTCTATTACAACTAATATCGAATTTCTCGAACTACGATGAACTGAAAACTTGTTCCTCATAAATTGAAACTCAGTTGCCTAGCAGAATCTACATGATATTTGAAACATTAAATTTGGACTGTAAATCAAATGAAAATATCAGTATCTCAAATATGATTTTGTTCAATACTTACTTTAAGATTAGCATTCGGCTCCAACGAACTATTGTTAAAATTCCTGATTTCTATACATAAGGCAGATTTTCCAACAGCCGTCTGCAAAAACACGCCCGAATCTTTACCACTATTATAAAGGAAATCCCAATCTTTTTCATGTACACACAATATAAAATAGTAAGAGATTCATGAGACATTGGAACTTCGATAGAATGACTATCATTAAATTTACGAAATTATTTGAACTTTCTATATTATTGTTACAAGCTGTAACATACTCAACAATTACCTCAAGGGTATGACTATAGCTCTCAGAATCTTATCAATAATTATTAATGAAAATTTACTTTCTATCGTATTTTTGCCATTCTCATTAAACAAGCAGTAGCTCCTTATCTATTAGCGAACGACTCGAAAATTACACAAGGAAAAAGAAAAAAGGAAACAGTAATTTTCATTTTGACTTTATCGGTTTTATTGTAAATTTTATCCACAGATTGTATTTAAATTTAAATTATAAGTGTCAATGGCTAGTTATTTATCAAATGCATTTTATCACGACAATGTTTTTTTATTGATTTCCTTATCAATCTTTGTTGATATGCAATGTACATTATCTGTTAATCCTGTAGAGATCTGCGCAAGTTTGCTCTAATATCCACATGTACACATACATCCAACTTGATCTGAGTAAATTATTCTACATCATAATTGATATACAGCGGAAATAACCATGAACGAATGTTAAACACGCTACTTCACAGAAAAACAAAGTTATAGATTACATAGCGAACTTCCTGTAGCTTTCCAAACTTAGCCCTAATCATCGCAACAAACATAGCAGAAACTATCGTTAGTGTCTACTTTATGAGTTTTCTCAGTAATCAGTTTCGAACTGAATTATCAGATAGCTTCGACTATTAGTCTTGAGTTATTCTTTAACTGTTTTTTTTTACATTTCTATGCTGTCACTAAAAGGTTTGTATACATCAAGATTCAACAAGATCCTCCTTTAAAAAAAAAAGAACCAAAACCATCTCGTAGAATATTGCTAGATTGGTTTTTTAACGATTTCTTCTTTCAAAGATGAAGCCTATTTTGCTTTCATTGAGGAGAAGCCAAATTCAGTTATCAAAATAATGACTTACATTGTTCTGGCAAAGAGTACTGTTCGAGCAACTCGGTGTAATTGTCGAGATACTTGTGGGCGTCGATATTCTGAAATTTGTTGTAGTTGAAGGTTCCTCCTCAGCCTCTGATGTCGTGCTGTTTGGTCTTCTTGTGAACGTACTTTTTGACGTTGTCGACTTCATAGTGGTGCTGGTTGGTCTTGTCGTTGTTGTAGAATTTCTGGTTGTGGATCGCTCTACAGTAGTACTAGTCGGCCCTGTCCTTAATGTTGAACTTTTGGTTGTTGATGTTCTCAGGGTTGTGTTAGTCGACGATTTTACATCATTTTCTGTTGTATTACTTAGCCTTCCTGTAGTTGTACTTCTATTTTGAGAAGATGCTGTAATGATACTAGCCCGTACTGTTGTTAATGTTGAACTCTTGGTCGTTGAAGTTCTTAAAGTTGCGTTCGTTGACAATTTCACATCGTCTCGTGTTGTGTTAATTAACGTTCCTATTGTTGAACTTCTAGTTGTCGATCGCTCTACAGTAGTACTAGCCGGCCCTGTCCTTAATGTTGAACTTTTGGTTGTTGATGTTCTCAGGGTTGTGTTAGTGGACGATTTTACATCATTTTCTGTTGTGTTACTTAGCCTTCCTGTAGTTGTACTTCTATTTTGAGAAGATGCTGTAATGATACTAGTCCGTACTGTTGTTAATGTTGAACTCTTAGTGGTTGAAGTTCTCAAAATTGCGTTCGTTGACGATTTCACATCGTCTCGTGTTGTGTTAATTAATGTTCCTGTTGCTTTACTTCTGTTAATCGGTGATCCTGTGGTGTTACTAGTCAGAACTGTCCTTAATGTTGAACTTCTGGTTGTCGAAGTTCTTGTAGTTAAGTTAGATCGTATGTCTTCTTCATTATTGTCGGCTTCCGTGGTGGTTAACGGCGTTGTTGCTAAAATATGTCAATAAAACAATCCCAATGCACATCTTATGTACGTACATTGGCTTTGGAAATTATAATATAATCTTTCAAACTCAATTGGGGCATAATGCATATGATAGTTACCGAAAAACCATAAGCAGTATACGTTTAGTATATGAATTGGCATAATATGCTTCACGCCGACGATTAATCGTCAGTGTTTTTTATTAAAAGTATCGTATCATAGTTTATAGTATGAAAGCGGGTGAATACTTTTTAAGGTTGTTAAAACTTACAGGTAGAAGTAACCTGACAGACACCTAGGAAATGTTGATACGTTTCAGACTTCTTTATTAGTCACATAATGCTAACCGTGTATGAGTGTGGGTCTTCTTTTCAACGAATTTCACACCCAAGCGTCTACACTTGTCCATATCCACATTCACTCGAAACTTCATAGTGGTATCTCTAATGTGAAAAAAAAGCCAACTGATTTAATTTAATAAATAGTGAAAATGCTCCATAAGAGATCCCAAACGAACTGTTCGAACATCCTGTAGATCATACTCCAAAAAGTTGAATTACTATAATATATTCTAAAGCTGTTGTCTTCTTGATTGATTGGAATTCTTTCTAATAAAGCATTCAAATTTGAGTAGACAACACTTTCTGTAATCTGTTATAACTGCATCCCACAGATGTAACTTCTACTAACAGTAAATCGCTGAGATGTTGCCAACTCTTGTGAATATGATGATGTATCAATAATAGCGGGAACAAACACGAGACATAGAGTGCTACTCATCATTCTATTCTTGTATAAATATAGTTAGTTTGGGATCTGTTTTACTAATAACAATTAAGTTCTATCTCACAAATGGCTCCGTACGAAATATCTTCAGTAACTATTGGAATACATTTTTAGAGAAAGATATTTTAGTTTTGTTAGTTCATAAAATCAAGTAAATCTCTAGAAAAAAAACAAAAGTTCAAAAAATAAAAAAGTGGCATTTCTTAATTGTATACTGGGTTCTCATCAAATCAGCTGAGCTTCATTGGTTGTTTCTTACCTGTAAAAGCATAGCCAAAAAATCTAATAATAAAATTATTGGAAATATTAGTTTCTTATAGTATGTCTACTTACAATATCAACACTGTTGTAATCAGCAATCGTTGCATCGTATGTGCTTGAAAAATATAAACTCTCACAAGTACTGACGGCTTTGATAGACACACAGTTACTTTCACTGTTTCTATTTATATGTGCCGAAGGCAAAAAGAGAACGAACTTTAATTATTATTTGCTTTGCATTCTTCAGTGAACTTTCTTACAATAATTCGAAAATCATGATTTCTAAAGAGCTGATTTGATCCAGTACTGTTTTTTTAACCTCTACCGTACTAGTACAATGAAAACACGACATGTTGAAAACAAAATACTTGAATAATATTTCAACAAAATTATTTGACACATATGTTTGAACAATAATATTTGACAGGAGAAAAAAATCTTGTTCTTTCACGAAAACAAGCTTGAAAGAGGTGTATTGCTATTCGTTTGACACAGCAGCATGTAGCAATATACTTTTTGATTTCAATGGTATCATTCAAGCGCGATATAAAATAAGATGCAAAAACATAGTCTATAAATTGGTAGCAAAATCTGTTTGTTCGAATACCCTATTCGTTATTATGGCTAGCCTACGCGAATTTCATTGAAATCTTACTGATGAAAATCATGTCACTATCATACTGTTGAATAGATGATGGGTGACAGTTTAAGAATGAGCGTGAGCTCTCTTTTAATTCCTATCAATTCAGATCAGCAATCATCTCATACCATCCAGCTAGTCACCAACTCACTTCACCCATATCTGATGAAAAAGAAATTCCGTGTTGAAGTGTCTGAAGGCGTGTGTGTGCATTTAAACTTGTTAAATTTCACTGATACAAATTCAAGGACATATTCTACTCGTATTCCAACTAAACCAATACTCACACCATACTCATAAAGGTTTAACTTCTTTTACTTGTGTAGAACTCATGTTATATCCTGTTATTCGTTAGAATATTTTATTATATATTCTGTTTGTTTGAGTTGAAAACGAAATTTTCTGTACCAAATATAGCTATTGATGAACAACAAAAAAAAGAAAAAAAAACAGATTTCCAACAGAATAAATTTACTGATCGACTTTTTTTGTCTTAAAAACAAGATTTCTCTCTCAATAAAAATTAATAAAAAAAAACTTATTGAACCATCCTTCTCCAATCGAATTTTTCATGAAAATATCAAGTAATTTTCTTATTTTCTGCTTCAATTAAAATTATCGAAAATCAGTGTTTCGTTGTTTTGTTTAAGCAATAAATTTTTCTATTTTATAATAAACAACAAGAATTATTTTTATCTGAAATTTTTTTATCATGAAGCAAAATCATGCATTTGAAATTCTACGTTTTCTTTTATTTCTCAAGGAATAATATTATTCAAATATTTGTGTGTTTTAGTTTAATAGAAAATGCAAATGAACATTTTTAAATAATGGTTTTATCAAAACATTGCTATATGAGAGACAAGTAAATGAATAATCATGAGTTTCTTATAAAAAGCATTAATTATATAGTGGATTAATTTAAGTTCTAGTTTGACTTTGCCGACTAAATCAAAGAGTAATGAAATCTTAACCTGATATGTTAGTTGAAACAACAAATTTTTATCCATAAAAAA